CAACAGTTTAAATCATAAGTCCCAAGCACGAGAATCTGATCGCACACAAGTTCAGTAGCGTGTATGGCCCCCATGTGCGTTGACAACTGCCACACAATGCCTCCGCATGGACCTTGTGATGCTTGTGAACACATGATTGGGAAGACGATGCCATTGTTGCTTCAAAATGGTGCCAAGATCTTGCAAATTCTGTGGTTGGTTCTGGAGAGTGCGCAAAATTCTGCCAAGAGCATCCAAGACGTGTTCGATGGGATTGAGGTCGGGACACCATGACGGCCAGTCCATGACGTTGACTCCCGCGTTCTGAAGGAAATTCCTTGTCAAAATTGCTGTGCGGGGTCTGGCATTGTCGTGTTGGAAGATCAAACCGAGTCCATGTGCTGCCATAAAAGGCAGAAGTTCTGGTGCCAGTACCTGGTCGGGGTAAGCAGCAGCGTTGAGGTTGCCACGGATGACAAGAAGCCTGGAACGTGCATTGCCACAGAAAGCGCCACACCATGACACTTCCGCCTCTAAATCTGTCAACTTCCTGTACACAACACTTGGCGTTACGTTCATGACGGCACCTCCACACCCTCGCCCTACCATCAGCAAACCGAAGATTAAATCGGGATTCATCACAGAAGACAACTTGATTCCAATTCCTCTGAGTCCATCGTAAGTATCGCTGTGCCCACAATTGACGTTGACGTCTGTGTAATTGAGTCAGAATCGGCCCGCAGTATGGCCGTCGTGCTTGAAGGTGAGCAGTTCTCAGACGGTTTCGAACAGTTTGCGCACTTTTGCCACTATAGTGCTGTGAACATGATTTTGATCGATTCACCTGCACAAAAACGGGTGTTATCTGAAGACAATACGTGGCCATTACTGTTTAAATACACAATAAGGGCCCACAATGATAACTGGTCAAAATGTTAAAATTTTAGGATTGTGAAGTTTTTAATTTGGTTCAGTATAGTTAAGGAACCGATGTACCTTTCAGGTTTTAATGTAACCAGTCACGTACATCCGGAAGCGACAGGTAAGGTGGATAATCTAGGCTTGGAAGAAGCAACCGATTTCCACTCCGTGCCACGCTCCCCCTTTAACTTAAATGAGTTCACTGAGAAAATAACCAATTCAATGTCTGTAATGATTGACAAACGCATGCAATCAATGTCTCATGAAATCTCATATCTAAAAGAATCCATCGCACAACACGAGATTCAAAAGAGATCTAAGGCTGAATATGACAGGGCATCCTCATACAGCAGACACACACAGAGTCAAGCTGAATCAGATTATTATGAGGACAGTAGGTGAGTCATAAAAAGAGATCGAGAATCTCACAGATTCCCTCCCTACCACGCACATCATAGGGTAGATCGTGAATCACGGACATCGCATCGCAGTATGCACAGAAATACACACCAGTCACCTTCAAGCCACTATGATAGACGAACTGACAAAGCTCATGCAAATCAGGATAGAATCCCGAAGCGTGCGCCATCCCATACTGTCACACAGTCCAGTTATACGGGCGGGGAAAGCGAAGTGGATGTTTCGTCACAATCATACAGGTACAGAACACGTGATTCCCGCCCCGCTAGCCTTAGATCAGATGACCGGGATTACTCTACCCCCAGCCATATGTCCTACCCCTAGCGCAGCCTGTGCAGGGGGTGCGGTTCTATCGCTAACACTGGTTCTTCATGCAATGGGGACTCTACTACGGGGGATAGTTTCAAATCAAATAATTATTCCATTAAAGATATCATTGCAGAACTGTATAATCTGATGCCGGCCTTAAAACCAGATAACAAAGACAAAACAGCTGCCAAACCCTTGTTAGAACGTGCTGGGTATGAAAACCTGTCAGCAAGACTGAAGAATTTCTTACCCTCCCCTGTCCGTCATATATTGATGACGTCATCAAGAAAATCGAAGCATCATTGAACGCTTCATCGGCGTATAATATCAGACTTGGTATGCCGGCTATTAATAAAAGTGCTTACAGGACACACGATGCCCCCTTCACACAACAGCCTAATATTGATGAAGACTTCTATGATCTGGTTAAGAAACCTAACACAAGGATGCACACTGACATGGCCAAAATCAGGCAACATCAATAAACAGATATAATATCAGTTCATATATTAATTGGGTTGCAGGTGGAATTCGCCACGTCATTCCCCCGAACAATCAGAGTGAAGGTCTTCCCTTAGACACCCCCACGGAGAAGACACTACAGCAGACCGGGTTTATTTACAGCTCACTGGACCATATGCTGAATATGCAGGAAGATCTACAATCAGCACACGTTTTGATGTCAACACAGTTCCTGCTCATGCAGAGAAATCATCTACCACACCAAGTTCATCATATGATCCCAGAGCCATTAAGAAGATCCATGCTATCACAGCCTATTACAGCTCCACAGATATTCAACGGCAGACTGAAGTCAGTGAAGGAAGCCATCGCATCATCAACTAGTCAGAGGTTTCAAGAATCCACGATCTCATTGGCATCCAAGATCCAGAAAAGGCCTGCAGATCTTCAGCATCAACAACAGAATCCTAGATCTCGTCATGTGAATTCTGGTAGAGATTCCGTTCGAGCCTCAACATGGAAGGACAGATCGTCTGACTACAAGTATAGGAACTCGAAAGATGATCATCCCACTTCACAGAGAGGAAGAAGCAGAGGCAGAGGAAGTCTCTAAGGGGGATATCGCCGGAAATGACTCAACCAGAGATCTACAGATTCCTTCAGATCCTACCGAATTTGCCTGCCCAGTGGACAACGATTTAGATCTTCAGAAGATCAACGCTACAACCACATTGAATCCCGTCGAACTAGCCTGTCTCACAGACATCGACCCAAGACTACCCAAGTTCAGCACTCCCCCTATTCCGGGACCAGTCGGAGGTTGTCTTATGCAGTACTCAGACAACTGGGAAGCCATCACAGACGATTCATGGCTGCTCGAAGTAGTAAGAATTGGCTACAAACTTCACTTCTTAAAACGACCAAGACTAGTCATCCATCCCACTGGACCCCGATTCCATCTATCAGGACGAAAGTTAATTGCAGCAGAAGTGGCCATACCAAAGCAACTTGCAAAGAGAGCTATCGGCATCTTAAAGGAGTCAGACACCACTCACGGATTCTACTCCCCAGTATTCCCGGTAACAAGAAGAATTCTTCAGAGATGCGATTAATCATAGATCTAAAAGTCCTAAACAAAGATTATCTGGAAAAGACTCCTAAGTTCCTGATGGAATCTATCAAGAAGTTGAAGAATAGCTTAAGGAAAGCAGATTGGATGACAAGCATAGACCTCTAAGACGCCTATCTTCGCGTTCCCATCCATCCAAGTCATCGTCGTTATCTGCGCTTCGCAATCAACGGTCAGAGATACCAGTTCAGGGTACTTCCATTCGGCATATCCATCACCCCATGGTTATTCACCAGGATCACCAATCCCATCATCGGATTCACCCATATAAAGCTCATAAGGTTACACGGATATATAGACGACTTCCTATCGGCCGATCAGGACAAATCGCAAATCAGATTAAATACAGTGTGCCTTATTCAACTACTAACACACTAAGGTTTCCTGGTTCACTCTAAAAAATCAGAATTAGTACCCACACAGGACATCACCTACGTAGGCGCAATATTTCTACTCAACAAAGGCATAGTAGGCCCTCCAGAGGACAGATATTCAAGAGTAGAAGACATGATATCAAGCGCACTCGATCAGCCCATCAAATCAAGACGCTGGTGGATGTCTTGCCTCGGCACACTCACCTCTATCCAAGATCTAACATACAGAGGCAGACTACAGTTACGTCCCCTGCAAAATTGGATGAATACCACCAAAAATCTAGAGCTGGAAGCCTTAATCCAACCCCCACAAGTTCGAATCTCCGAACTTCATTGGTGGCTGACTCGTCAAAATGTCATGACCGGTATCCCACTCTCATACCTACATCAACTCTACACAGATGCGTCAGGAGAGGGTTGGGGTGCCCATATGGACGATGTTACAATACAGGGAAAATGGTCCACCCAAGAAAAGGAGTTACACATCAACTGCCTAGAAATGAGAGCGATATATCTAGTTCTAGAAGCATGGCAAGATTGTCTGCACCACTCGTCAGTAAAGATTGCTACAGACAACTCGACCGTGGTTGCTTTACTACAGCAGGGGGGTACACAAAGTGTCAGCCTTTGTTGTAGGAGGCTACATGTTTATTTGCCTTGGTAGACTCAGTGAGTTGCAGGATCGAAGCAAGACATATACCGGGCAAGTTAAATATCCTAGCAGATAACCTTTCCCAGAAAAACAAGATAGTACCCACGGAATAGTCACTACATCCCGAAATATCCAAATGGATAACCTTCCTATGGGATACTCCAAAGCTAGATCTATTCGCCACATGTCTCAACAACAAAGTACCAGTCTACGTCAGCCCTGTACCAGACCCGCTAGCTCTCCAGGTCGACGCTCTATCTATTAACTGGGAGAGAATGTTCGCTTTACGCATTTCCTCCATGGGCTCTTCTAGACAGAGTTCTGAAGAAAATAGAAGAGATAGACTGCGTCATAATTCTCATAGCCCCGGCATGGCCACACAGGGCTTGGTTTCCAAGGTTACTACACCTCCTAGTTGAAGAACTTCTGAAACTCCCGGCACGTCACGATTTACTGAGACAACCGAAAACGGACATATTTTACGTCCGCCTCGACAATCTCCACCTTCATGCATGGAAGTTATCCCGAATAAGATGCAAGCCGCCAGTTACTCTAAATCAGCTGTAAGAAGAGTGGCAAGCTCATGGAGACCAGCATCTTCTGTCCTATACAATAACAGATGGGCGAAGTTCGTCGAGTGGAGAATAAGAAATTATTTAGACGTAGAGATAATGATACCTATAGTTGCTGAATAGTTGCTGAATTCTTGCTCTATCTCAGAAACGACAAGAAGTTGCGACATGGCACTATCGAAGTCTATAGATCCGCCCTGGCATCAATATTACAACACGATGGCCTATCTATTCGACTTTCCAAAAAGTCAAGTTCAATGAGAGTTATCCGTCTTGAGTTGGAACTCTTTAATTGGTTGGATGAACATCCGCCGAGTACTGTCAACTTCCGTCGAAAATAGCCCGCTGCTTCGAAGCTGTCAAAATGGGGAAGCAATACTGCTGTATTTGTAGCAATTTTAGGGGAAAGATAGTCGGTGAAAGAATAGTATCTCTACACGTCATTCCAGTAAGCAAGTCCCTACGACAAGCGTGGATAAGGCGACTTCGGTTAGTGAGAAAAGACCTCACAGTGACCAAGCACACGGAAATATGCTCAGAACATTTCGTGGGTGGTAACGGTCCAGGCACAGGGCATGATGTTCCATCGATTTTTCCGAAGAAAAATTACAGTACTTGCACAGTGAGTTATGTTGATTCTTATAAGATTTCTGCTATTGTTGGTGTATTTAATGTGTTTTATCGTTTGTGAATGTTATGTGATTGTGAAAAAGTGCTAGGATTAAAACTTGAAATGAAAAAAAACAACAAAAACGTTTCAAGTTGTGTTGATCTTAAAATTCTATGTATCCTCTCTTTCATCTTATTTGTTAGAATAAATAGAAAAAAATGTCTCAGTGTCTGTTGATAATTTGTTGCAGGTGTCTGATGCTGACTTTGTTGATACCCCTAAGCCAAATGAAAGCCCATTCAAGCAGGCCTGTGACCCTGAATCTCCCAAAGTGACTTTGCAGATACATGGAGGGACTCCTCAGTCTGATGAAATTGAACATAATTCCACAACATTCAGTCAAGGTGCCAGGTACAGCGGGAACATAAGTTTTTTCTCTTTTTTGAATTTGTTGATTATTATGAGAAGTTATGCTTAACAAGACAAAATATAAAAATCATGGTGTAGTCTCTCTTACTTACAGAACAATAAAATATAAAGAGCATAAAATATATATATAGAACATAAAATATAATAGAGCATTGACCAATAAACTTGATAATTCACTTCTTATATTAGCTTTTGTATTAACAGATTTATGTTATTTTAATTTTAATTCCTTTAACCTCAAAATATCGGAAAAAAACTATTTATTTAATGTGATGGAAAGCTATTTATTATTTTGACAGATCCTATGACGTTGCATCAATTATGCTGCATGACTACTGTGAGGCTGTGTGTGAAGACGACATCAGTTGCATAAGATATGGATCATCGCAAACAGAAATGGTGGAAGTTAGAAGCATGTCTACCTAAACTGACGATGTAATGTTCCAGTGTTTGAATCCTGTGAAAACATACTGTGCAATGACTCAGACTGAGACTGAAAATAAAAAAGTCTTTCGCAATCAAGCCACTCAAGTCATACTTCCTGATTTAACATTTTTTGATGTGAAGAATGATTCAGAATTGGTAACCTATTATACAGGTCTTGTGGATGCAGTAAAGTTTTCATGTTTATTTGACGAGTTTTCTGAGGTTCATGACAGGGACTATCCAACATCCAATATCGGACGCCCTAAATCTTTGTCTTTGATAGACGAGTTCTTTCTAGTGTTGATGCGTCTTAGACTTGGACTCCTGGTTGTTGATTTATCAAAGCGATTTCATATTTCCAGAAGCTGCTGTGCTGATGTCATTAATAGATGGATTGAATCATGGCGGATAAGGGATTTACAATCTCTGACTTGACAACACCAAAAGGTATACTCCTAATAATTCCACCAAAGAAACATAAGAGAAAACAGCTGACTGCTGTAGAAATTGAACAAACTAGGAGAATAGCGAACTTGAGAATCCATGTTGAAAGGCACATGGAACGTTTCAAGAATTTCAGAATTTTGCAGGGTATAATTCCAATTACAATTTCAAAATCTGTAAACAAAATCTGGAAAATCTGTAATGCTTTGACTTCTCTGCTTCCCCCTCTTTATCCTCATGACCAAGAAATTGATGACAATTACTTCTTTGATGACAGTTCCTTGCTTGCTCTGTAATTAGTAGGATGAGCATAATCTTATTGCAGCTCCAGATGTGAATGGTCACATGATATTTTCTGCTATATTTAAACTTAATAATCATGGTATCATGATAACAATTTTGTATTGAAAACATTGAGCCAAATAAGTCTAGACAAATAAGTCTATTTTTGTCCAATATGACTATTGACATGACCACCTACTGGTTGTCTATTTTTGTTTTACTTATTGAATCAAAGCATTGATATAAAAATCCTGACTCTTCATATAAGTAGATAAACAATTTCATGTTTTAGCTGTGACAGCAGGATCATAGTCCCATGGTTCTAATTTTTGTAACAATAACTAAAATGAAAGAAATAAACGCTTGATGATTTTCTTTAATCATGTTGTCCATGTTGTCATTTCAAGACGTTACAGAAAATATGTTATGATATGTTATGGCTTAATAGAATGGTTCAAGAAATTACAAGGAGACGAAGATATCATATGTCTAAGTGACATTCTATCTGAATGGTCAGTCGCCGTGGATGCGGCGTTAAGTAACAATTCACCCACTGAATGGTAAGTATCTATGACTATCAAAGAAAGATATGATATGGTATTGAGTGAAACATTGAATTGACTGAGTGAGCATAGAGTAAAACAACTGGTAAGATGGTAGTACAACGGTCAATCTAATACAGTGAAACACCTCGCTGGACACGTAGGGTATATTTTTCAGGAATAATGGCTGACAGATAGAAACTGCGAAGCCTTGTGACCATCTGATGCCACTTGTTCTCGTCAAATGTAATCCTTTCAATAGATATCCCTTTGAGAGTCCACACCACAAAATCACACCAAGTTCTTTTGGTCAAGGCCATCTGTCCTTGTACTTGAAAGTAGTATGCATGGTTTTCTTTTAGAGTCACATTATTGTCCACAATATGGCAGAAGAAATTTGTATTTGATGCAGCCTCTTCTGGTGTAAGATCTCTGAAAACAGATGGACATTTAATCTCTACTAAGCCATGTTGATTACTACATGTACTACAATCTGTGCATGACACAAGTCCATCAGGGCTAGTTGCAAGGTAAGGGTAGTCTGTATTCACAATTAGTCCACACTGAGACATTTCAACTGTGGATGAAGAGCTGCCATTTTGTTGATATACTGCCGCCTTGCTGCCGATTCATGTGAAAGTCCCCATCTGGTATGTCTGTTACCAAATTCGCCCCGATATCCCATTAGGTCACATACAAGTCTATCTGGAGCTGTAGATGTCTGTCGGATAAATACTTTGCCAAACTGTGAACTTGTTATCCTTTCCAATCTGGCTTCCTTCCAAAACTTTGTTTTATGTTGTCCTCTTGTCATTCTCTCTATTGACCTCACATCCTTTTCTGACACTATCATGGAATCAAAATAATTTTGAAAGGTAGTTTGACAGGTTGGCGATTTAATATCAACATAGTCAGGAATACAACGATCAATGCATGGTATTTTTGGAAGTTCTGGCATAGGTTCAGGAGCTTGAGTAACAGTAGTTGTATTAACAACATATCCACATTTACTTTTTGTTTCATGACCAATTAACTTCTTATTAAATCTTGTGAGATTTATTGTTGTGGCATGTTGCTGTTGGGACAAATTGATCTTTTGTTGATTGTTCTATTCTGTATTCCGACAGTACCTTGTGTAGTCCCAGTACCTTTTTGTTGACTCTTCCTGCCACTTGACATCGGGTTCAAGTCATCCGATTTCATTGGATCCAACTTCCTTTTTCTGGGAATTTTCCACTTGCACTCAACTGATGTGCATGAAAGCAAACCATCCTTTTTCTTCTGACTAATGTCTGCAAGGGCATGAAGCAGGGCTGATACATGATTACAAGCCTCCCCGGCACTGCAAAAACAAAATTAGTTATATTTATTAATATTATTTGGACTCTAGCTTTAATATTATGAAATAACAATCAATCCTCAATCATGTTTCCTCTATTTCACCCTAAATAATTATTATTTTTAATGTAATCAGCTAAAGATGTCACATATTAATAAGCAACAATATCAATAATCTGTTTATTTATTTAAATTAACAAAAGTGAATGAGAGGTCCCACAAAGGATGAGATTTTAAAATGTATCAATTACTTTGCTGGTATTTGGAATTAATAATTTACATATCTTTTGATCAAACTTAATATTTGGAACATATTTTCTTTGAAAAGGTTTTTAAACGTTTTGTTTGTAAAAAAAACAGCGATCTAGATATAGATGACACGACTGTAGTTATATAAATGCAAAGTCTACATACCCAGCTGCACAAGTACAATTTGCTGAATGAACACGACCTGTTACTTCTGAGAGACTTGCCCAAACTTCGTGATCGGGGCTTTTCTTAGGATCCGCTGTTGGTAGTGATGGTATGACACGGCATCTGACAAACATATGGTCACAGTCGTGATGGATGTTGTGTAGAGCTACGCCGTGAACATGTCTATCTTGGTAAAACACCACTGCCTTCATTTGTCGTTTAGCCATCATGGGTTTCGTGTCTGAAGTCCTATGGTTGCCAAGTACCATATAATTGTAGATTTCCTTCTCTGAGAATTCCGGCAATGATTCAACAGCATCGTTCCATCCAATCATTAATGTAGTGGGGTCTGGCATTCGATATCCGCTGGGTGTGACGAGCTTCTGTTCCATAGATATAACGCCTTTACTGGGTTGTATACTAAGGTGGTTGCATCCAAACGATGTGCCTTCGCCCCTCTTGCTCGCGCTAAAACTTGTGCTCTTACCCCAGTCACCTTTTGATTTCGTTCCCGTAGGTATTCACGCAATTCTTTTACTGTCATTTGATGGAATTCATCATCAACGTCAATATTGTTATTTGCCGCCATTTTGAAGGTTTACTCGGCGGAACGTGAAAAGGGGACATCACTCTAATTTTCTTTGCAAAGGAAGATAACAACACTTTTCGGAAAGTCGAATAGGTACCCACCCAGTACTGAATCGACTCATGAAGTCTTTTGCACTGGAAGACATAAACACCACGTATATTTCCAAAATGGGATCTATCTGTAGTATTGTCAGCATTGATGAAACCACCTTATGAACCCATGAGTAGCGCAACATTACTATTAGTTTCCAGGAAGACCGCCTTTCTCCTAGCCATGGCCACTGCGGCTCGTGTATCAGAATTACACGCTATTGACATTTCCACTGTTTACTCCTCATGTGTTATAGTGCATTGTAATGTTATATCCAGAATTGAGAGAAGAAATACAGTATGTAATAAGGATTGGATCCAGAAGCAACACATCTAAGGAATGTACAAAATGTAATACTTTTGCTGATGAATAATATCACCGTGTCATACCGCTCGGCGTCAGTTAAGAATAACTATGAACAGTGTCGGAAACTCATCAGAGTAAACTGAGAGGCTTAAGTGCCAGCACATTTCAAAATTGTATGCCCAGTGGAAAAACTGTAGGCAAAAACATTTTAGCTGAAGCAGGGAGACATACTCTTGCAATATAAATTACAAAACACAACCAGTCAACCAGAAGCTTTACTGCCATCACACCGAGTTCCCAGAGACTCTGCGTTGATAGATGAAGCCATCATATATCAAGGACTAAGTGAGTGAATTTGATTTAAGGCCGCTTTTAACTGTATTCCAGTTATATCAAGGCTTATCAGCTTAATGTGGAAGGAATGCCCGAAGTGATGCAGGTCTCAGACGTTTACCATTTCGATGAAACCCACGAGCACGGGTATGGTGCTGACAAACCTAGAAACATAATTGGGACGAACCGGGATTCGAACCCACAATCATATGTTTCTGCAACTCGAATCGCGGCGCCTCAGACGACTGGGCCACCCGTGCCGCCCATATCAATGAAATTATCACATACACCATTTGAAAAATCTGATCCCACTGTTGATAAATATTAGATTAATGTTTATCACATTATTTAAATAATGCATTCATAACTTAATTAAGTGACACACGACGTGACTCTGAGTAGTGTTGACATGAAGAATTTCATAAAAGATGTACTTAAAGCTCAAACAGAAGAAATAATGGGTGAAATGAAATTTATTAAACATGGCATTAAGGAACGTGACAACAAAACCGGTGAAATTCTAGAGGCGGTTGACTTTAACGCCGAACAAATTAAAGAAAATAAAACATATTGAAAATTTGAAAAGCAAACTCTCACAAATGAAGAAGGAATTTGAACACAAACTACTGGTACAAGAGATGTATTCGCGAAAAAACAACTTGCTTATTTACAGTATAGCAGACGAACAAGATGTGGAGCAGGCAACTAAAGAGGTCTTCACACTTAGTGGGGTCAGCGAGGCCGACAAAATACTGTTTGCTTACGTGCATCGATTACTGCGAACAAGTACCGATCCGAATATGTTTAGACCCGATATGCCGAAGCCAATGTAGTCAAATTTGTTATTACATCTGATAGGCATCTGATAGGGTATACACAGCAGCGCTGGAAAGTGTCAAGTGTTGAGGTCAATAAAGGCCAGTAACCGCACAGACCTGCCAGTCATCATTAAAACGCTGAGGGGGAAGATGGCAAACCGAGCATTCGAGCTCAGGAAATCACACAAAGTGCAGACACGGATCTTAGAGAGGGGAATGGACTTGACTCTGCAGTACCGACGTTCTTCCGCAGATGCCTGGACAACTATCGGATTAGAGGACAACATCAGCTAAAGCGATTATTCAGTTCCCAGACAAAGACAAACCGGACGATTAGTTTGTGCCCAAATGGTGCAGAACTGTCGTTTGTTATAACTTACATGATATGGGTAATATGTTTATTATGAAACAAAAGTACTGTCAGTACACTTTGAAATCATCGTCAATATTCGATGTACTTCTGACTGTCAAGATCTACAGGGCGAGCCTCGATGAAACAATATGAGTAGTATAAGTAATGACAGTTCTGCTGCAACTCCACTGGAGCCAGATTTATACCCAATACTGCTACTATAGAGGGAATTTTTGATGCAAAAATGACGATGCAATTCAACGATTGTCATGATTCGTTTTAAAAGAATCAACAATATTAATTAATAATGGATAAAATTTACTATAGCCCACGAGGATATTGGAAAGGTATAGGTGCAAAACTAAACTTAGTCACTGCGGCTAAGGTATCTAAAGATGTGGCCAAGGATTGGCTAAAGAAACAAGCGATGTGGCAAATATACTTACTGGCACCGCGTTATATCCCGAGAAAGAAGTTTGATATTTTTACAACGAATGAAGTTCATCAGGCTGACCTCTTATTCCTTCCCCATAATAAGGTAAGACGCAAAATATATAAATACGCTTTAACCGTAGTGGATGTGGCTAGTCGCTTACAAGGAGGCTGAACCATTAACTTTAGAGATTCAACAGAAGTAGCTAATGCATTGAGCCGCATATATAAACGCGGACCACTAAAATGGCCCAAGTTATTTCAAGTAGATCCTGGTCACGAGTTTATGGGATCAGTAACTAAACTGTTAACAAAGCACGATGTCACAATCAGGCGCGGTGCAAAAGAGGCCCACCGTAGTCAAGCTATCGTTGAAAGATTTTACCGTACATTAGCAGAACGTTTGTTTGGATATCAGTATGGGATTGAAATGAAATCAGTTGATTAAGATCAACCGAATGGGTGACATGATTATCAGCTGTTGTATGAGCGCTAAATAATGAAGTAACGAGATTAATCGGGAAGAAACCATCCGATGCGGTTAAAATGAAATCTCTGACTTCCGAATCGTCAGCACCGAGGAGAGGCAAAGAACAAAAACTTCCGGATAGAGTAAGCGTAAGATATTTAAACCAGCCCGGTAAACTCGAAAGAGGCCTATGTTGCGCAACCGATCCAATTTGGTCCCTTAAGATATATAACATTAGTCGGTTGGTTATGAAAAAAGTATTAAGGTGTTAAAATAAACACTTCCAGCTTGGTGGTGTATGGAGAATGTGGAAGATTCCCTCTCTATGTATATTCAAATATAAAAGTTATTAAATACTGGCTGAGACTTATTGACATGCCCTCATATAGATTGCCAAAAAAGTGTTATAATATGATGATAGTTTATGATAATAATGGGAAAAGAAACTTGGTTACAGGTGTTAGAGAATTACTTTTCAGTTGTGGCTTTGGTGATATTTGGCAAAACCAAAATGTTTATTCCAAATCAATGTTTAAACTTCCATTAACCCAGAGATTAAAGGATATTTATTTACAATCTTGGACTGCATCATTGACTCTAACAAACAAGTGCTTTTACTACAAAATGTTTAAATCAGAAATAATTATGGAAGATTATTTATCAAAAGTTAATATTAAAAAATTTCGAACGGCTCTTTCACGTTTTAGATGTTCTTCTCATGACCTTTTAATAGAAACAGGGCGCTATGTAAACATTCCTCGTGAAGAAAGAATCTGTGTAATCTATGTAGTTTAAACTCAGTAGAAGATGAATTTCATTTCTTACTTGTATGTCCAGTGTATTTACACCTTAGAGAAAAATACCTGCAAGCTTATTATTACAGGTACCCTAATATTATTAAATTTGTTTCACTGCTGTCAAACACAAAAAGAAGTATCTTACAAAATGTTTCCATGTACATATATAATGCCTCTTTATACCGACAGAACCTTATGAAAGAATAATCTTAGCTGCTTGGTATTAAGAAACTATTGTGTATATACATTAAGTACATATTTATAGATATTTGCCATCTGAATAAACTACAAACAAAAGAGTTAGAAATGGTATTAAACTATTAGGCTGTCATATGATATTGTGGGACGTGATATTACAAATGGTTTAGTATAGTTATATGTATATGAAATGATATGATGTGACATGACATGATGTGATATGATAAGTGTTGTGGTGTGATATGATACATGAAGGGATATGATGCAATATGTTATGTGTATTATAGAAATTGTGTAAATACTGTTTTTTAGTGTACATATTATATGGCTTGCGGTCTTCCAGTGTTGAATAAATAGTGATTGATTGATATGAAATAAATTAGCATGGAATGACATGGCATTATATGGTATGATATGATAAGATATGATGGGACAAGCTATGAAATTGCTAATGTGTTGTGTGATATGAAATGTTGAAATGTGATATAATATAGGTGTGATATATGGTACGATGGTATGTATGGTATGTTATGATATGATAATGGTATATGAAATAATACTATATAGTATGATCTTATAATAATGATACAATATGATATGATGTTATAGAATATGTTGTATGATATAACAAGTTGTGATATGGTAAAATAGAAATAAGAAAAATTACAGGGTATGGAATTGTACTATATGTGTGAAATTATGTGACTGTGTTGAGATGCGAGGTGGAATGACGTGAGGTGATTTGGTGAGATATGTACATAAATTGTATAAAATTGTATATTCTTCAAATTGTACTATAGGCCTGTGGCCTCTTCAGTATGTGAAATAAAGATTGGAGAAAGAAGGAGAGCCTATTCTTTATTATCTTAAAGATGGACCGGGCAGGGCATTTGTACGAGAAGGGTTGCTCATAGTTCCCACCATAACCATAAGCATAGGTAGTTACACCATCCTCATCAATCCATCTCTTTGTATCTAAGCGGGATAATGATGT